AAACTAATGAACACTCCAAATCAAGTGCTGGCGGGGAGCTCTATACACGCTCTATACGAACAGCGTCATCGCTTGGTTGACATATTTTTGGGACTGCCTCGCGACGCTGAATCCGAGTTTATTCGCGGCAAACGACTACTAATGACGGATCGCCAAAGTTAGCCCCGCACAAACGGAACCAACACAAAACGGGCGATCAGCAGGGCGACGACGACGAACACCATGAGAGGCCAAAGCGTCTCCACTCGCAGCTTGAAGTGGCCCTTGGACCGGCATCCTGCCGAAAATTAGCGGGCAGACCCTACCCACGCGCTCCGTACTTTGGGTAATTGCCGCGCTCCCTGTATTAGGCGGCCTACGCTGGAGGAGGAGGGGGAGGAGGAGGAGGAAACCAAAGGAGAAGGGAACACGAAAACATACAAATAGCAGTGCATCCATGCAACCTCACGTGTCGCAGCGGCTGACCCAGCCACGAATCCCCTGTCATCGTAGCGGCGCCGCGTGCAGAGCAGGGGGGGATGACCCGGCAAACGGCACCTCGCGGCTAAATCTGGAACGTGCGAGGCCATCCCGCGATCTCACTGTCAAGTGGTTTTTCACAGGGGAGGCGGGGGTGGTGGCGCGTGGCCTGCTGTGCGCAGGCCCACCACACACAATGATGGGCATTGGGCGGGGGCCAACATGTTTCCCGATGTGTGCTGTCACGTCTGCAGGCGCAGTTGACGCACACGTGCCCCGAACGTGGCGCACCTGGCGCGGCTGGAGTGTGCGGCACACACTCGAGCACATGGCGCATCTGGCGCACCATGCGTGGCTGGCGCGCTCGGGCCCCAGGCACCGCGCGTGGCGCCATGGCACGCGTGGCGCACCTCGCTCAAGCGTCGCGCACCGGGGGTTGGCTTTGGTTCCCACTAGCTGTCCATCCAAAGACGACCGTTGAACGTGCTCAAGCTACGATGTAGAAGGCGGGTGGGATTGAGCTAGGCGGCTTGCGGGCGGGTGGGTCGCTTGATCACTGTTCCCTAATAAACACCCCCCCAGGCGACTGGGAGCCAACGAGGGGCGGTGAGGGCACCCCCCACCATCCCTTGTAACAAACCATACAGCACACACTCTGCCTCCAAATTCGGAGCATGCGCAGCCAACCCGATGCGGCCTCCCCCCACCATCCCTGTCAACAATACAGAATGTACACTTGGCGGCGGTGGCGGCGGCGGTTGCGGCGGGTGCGGGTGCGGCGGCGGCGGCTGCGGCGGCGGCGGCTGCGGCGGCTGCGGCGGCGGCAGCGGCTGCGGCGGCTGCGGCGGTGGCGGCGGCGGTGGGGCGGCGGCGGCGGGGGCGGTGGCGGCGGCGATGGCGGCGGCGGCGGCAGCGGTGGCGGCAGCGGCTGCGGCGGCAAGGGCTGCGGCGGCGGCGGCGATTCGGCAACGGGGGCGGGGGCGGCGGCGGCGGGCGCGCGGCGGCGGCGGGCAGCGGCGGCGACGGCGGCGGCGCGGCGTCGGCGGCGGCGGGCGGCGGCGGAGGCGGGTGCGGCGGACTGGCCACCAGTAGCTGCCCATCCAAAGATGACTGCTGAATATGCTGAGGCTCGGGCCAGACTCCGGTGCTACGTATGTGTTGGGACGGCGGGTGGGAGTGAGCGAGACGGCTTGCGGGCGGGGAGGGCTTGACCCCTCCCCCTGCCCCCTCCCTTGGACCTGGACGGGAGGGGCGGCGAGGCGTTGGAGCGTCCATTATGGCCCAAGACGGCTCCAAGAGGGCCCCTGAGAGTCCAAGATGAGCTCCAAGATGACTCAAGATAGCGCACGATGCCTCAAGATGGCTCCCAAGATGCTCCAAGAGGCCCCAAGAACGTTCCAAGACGGCTCCAAGAGGCGTCTGAGACCTCCAAGGAGGCCCCCAAGAAACCAAAATCCTTCAAACATCAATGGGCAATCAATGATTTTCGCTTTCTCGCCTTGTCGCGTCCGATGGCCATCCGAGGCCTCACGATGGCTCCACGATGGCCCAAGAAGGCCCCAGGAGAGACCCAAGAGAGCCCCAAGACGGCCCCAGCGCCCAAGAGCACTCCAAGAGTGCCCCAAGCCACAAGAGGCGACTTTTGGGGCTCCCAAGGGGGGGGGGGGGATGGGGGGAGGGGGGGCGAATCCCACCAGCCCTTTAGGGCGTAAGGTGGGTTAGGGAGCTTCCTCTTACACGCCTCCCTCTTCTCCTTCGGGGAGGGGTTTACTCCTTCCCTCCCCCCCTCCCCTGGACCTGGACGGAGGGTTTCGCAGGTAGTTGGAGCGTCCACAACGGCCTCGGCGAGGAAATCCAAATCATTGGTTTTACAGAAAGGTTTTGGCCCCAGTTTTGCCTCCTGGGGGGGTGAGGCTAATTAAGGACCCCCCTTCTTTGATTGATTTCCTCCGAGATGGCCCCAAGAGCGCTCCCAAGGCTCCCAAGGGTGCCCCCAGAGGGCCCCAGAAGGTGGCCAGGATGCCCCAAGAGGCTCCCAAGAGGCCCCAGGATGCCCCCAAGCAGCTCCCAAGAGACCCCCACGAGGCCCCAAGAGGCCCCCCAGACGCTCCAAGAGGCCTCGGCAAGAATGCTAACATCATTGATTATATTACGATTTTGGCCACATTTTGGCCTCCCGGGTGGGGGGGGCTCTGATTGAGATGACTCCAAGGGCGCCTGGGAGAGCCCAAGATGACCTCCAAGATGGCTCAAGAGATCCCACGATGCCTCAAGATTGCTCCCACGATGCTCCAAGAGGCCCCAAGACCGCTCCAAGACGGCTCCAAGTGGCCAAAGAGCTCCCCCAGGAGGCCCCGAAGAGGCCAAATTCCTTCCGAAACCTTGGGGAACTCAATGTTTTTGGCTTTCTCGTATTTTCGCTTCCGATGGCCATCCGAGGCCAAATCATGGCTCCAAGCTGGCCCAAGACGGCTCCAAGAGAGGCTCAAGAGAGCCCCAAGACGGCCCCAAGAGCGCCCAAGAGCGCCCAGGAGGCCTCAGGAGGCCCCAACAATCCTCCAAGAGGCTCCCAAGAGACCCCCAAGAAGTCCCAAGAAACTCTCCGAGGCACCCAGGACGTTCTGAGAGGCGTCCGGAAGTGCCAAGAGGCCCCTAAGACGCTCCAAGAGGCTTCCACTGGGGGACCATTCCTCTGTGTGCTGTCCACTTCCCTGATCGAGGCAATTCCTCTGGGCATCGTTTCTGCCTGGGCTGGTGGTGTCACGCGAAGCGTCTAGACTTAGGGAACCCCTCTTCTTTGATCGATCTCCTCCAAGATGGCCTCAAGAGCGCTCCTAAGGCTCTCGAGGGCGGCCCAGAAGGGCCCCAAGAGGCGCCCATACAGCCCCAACACGCTCCCCAGAGGCCACCAAGAGGATATCCGAGGCACCCAAGACGCGCAAAGAAGCCCCTGGGCCCGCCAAGAGGCCCCCTAGACGCCCCAAAAGGCCTCCAAAAAGCCTTCAAGAGACATCCAAAGAATCTCCGAGAGGCATCGAATTCATGAAACTTCTGGCTCTTTTGCTCGCCTCCTCCTCCTCCTCCTCCTCCTCCTCCTAAAGATGGGCTGGTGGGAATTCGCGAAACATCAATCAATTTCTCGCTAGCTCTCTTTCCGTCATGCCCCTCTTCTGCCGGGTAAAATCACATTCACATTTTCTAAGGCCGACCTCCCCTACTTCGCTGCGCGCGTGGTCGGCGCCAAATTCGTCCAAGATGCGTCAAAAGCCGTCCCAGATTTCCCCAAGCCGGCCCAGGAGGCCCTCGATACAGTTAAAGAGAGCTCCAAGAAGCGCTCCAGGCGGACCCGAAGACGTCAACATTATTGTGTTTCCATCTGCTTTCCCTTTGTTTCAGCGCGTCCGCATTTTCGGGCTTCCGACAGCCCCTGACGGCTCCAGAGGCCCCCACGGCGGCCCAGGAGGTTCCCAAGACGGATCCCAAAAGACCCAAAGTCACCCTCTCAAGACGGTCCGAGACCGCCTCAAGAGGGCTTGAGGACAGCCCAAAGGAGCCCCAAAGACGGCCTCCCACGGCATCAGACAGACCAAAAGAACCCGATGACGGCCAGAGAGGCCCCCAATACAGCCCAAGAGGCCCTCCAGGAGGCTCTGGAGATCCCTCTCAGAGGTCACAAAGAGTCGAGGAAACGAAGTCGAGTTTAAGACCAAGCCGAGCTCAGACCGCGCGCTGAAATTGCAGCGGGGCTTCAATTTTTGAGTCAACTTCCTTCACGCTGCGCTGCTGCGCTGGCACGACACGGTGGCGGGGTTTGCCGCAAGCAGATGGGTCATCCAAAGGCAGCGTGCACCCCGCGCGCCAAGAAGCACTTCGGTCGCCGGACTTCGCGCACGAGGCCCCGTGATGCGCAGCCATCCCTCCGATTTAAGCGCGCCGGCAATACACGAAGTATGTGGAGCCACCTCGCCGACCGTACTTTTCCTCCTCCTCCTCCTGCTCCTGCTCCTCCTACTCCCAAGAAGTATCTAGAAATTCCTGGGGTCTCTGTAATCTCTGGAGGCCCCTGACCTCCGGGGCCCCGTGACCCACCCAGGGCCCCCCACAAGCCCAGCAGGAAGCAAGCACATTCAAACACCCGATCGATTATTTTCTGGCGCCGGAGGCTGAGGCTGAGCGATCATCTGGCGCAGTCGGCCGCCGAAAGAATTGCCTGTCCCAGGGGAAACGCGCCCTGGATCGGGCTCTGCAGAGTAGCTTTTTCACCCCCAGCGTGGTTTCGACGGCCCTGGGGCCTGGGACGGGCCTTGGAAGGTAGCAAGCGGCCAAACACCTGAGGACCCCTTTCCCTCAGGAAGTGTGTCCCAAACTTCTGTCCGACTGTCTTCAGTGCTCCGGCGCCAGATCTCTCGATCCCTTCCCGGGGACGGCCTTTTCATCCTGGGCTGTTCTGTTGACCGTGGGGCCAGCAGGGGCGTCCGAGGCCAGAAACGAAGACCGACCGCTGTGGAGAGATGCTTCAAAACATGCCAGAGGTGCAGCTTTTCTTCATGGCCGACAGGCTATCTGATGAGCTGCGTCGGGGCCGGGAGCGGGGCTGGCGCCGGCGCTGGCTCGGGCGCTGGTCCTGGGCGCGCAGCGGTTGAGGGGCCCAGGCCAACCCGCCCCATCTCTCAGGAGGTTTTCGGAGCCCCGAAACGGTGCGGTGACCGACAGTGCGGTGACCTCGAAATCCCTCAAGACCTCACCGCACGGTCCGTCAACGCACGGTTTTGGGACCTCGGAGGCTTCTGTCGCCCGAGACTTCCTCGGCGAGGGACTCGGGTCCCCAAACCGTGCAGTGACCCCGAATCCCCACCGACTCACCGCACGGTGTGGTCACCACAGCGTTTGGGGGCCCCCGAGAGGTGTATAGGTGTACAGATTACCATATGACATGCGCGTCTTACTTCGAACAGTGCGCGCTACTCGTTCGATTCTGCATGGCGCGACTCCGAGGGGCCCTCCGATTGGCGCGCCATTGACGCGGTCTTCCTGGTCAAAATCTCCTCTCCCTGAGGGGCAACCGCACGGGGCAGATGGGGGGGATGCACCGACCTCGGCGACACATCGCCGAGAGATCGGAGATAGGCCGCCCATAGCGAATCCGCACGTTCCTGGGCAGGGGAGGGCTACCGGGCCCCAAACCGGCGATGAGTGGGCGATCGGGGGCCGATCCACCTCCCACCTGTGCCTCTTTCCCCCTGCCGTTGCCCCTGACTCTCGGGCCGGGCGAAAGGGGGGGATAGCAAAGGGGGGGTTTGAGAATCAGCCCACGCAGCTGATTTTCCCAGCGCCTCCCGGCGCCGGAGGCGGCCATGTATCGAGGAATGGGCCCCTCGGTGGGGCCAGAACCAGCTGCATGCAGCAGATTTCGTACCCCCCCTTCCCTAATCCCCCGCTTTCGTCGGGCCCCTGACTCCCCCTTCTCCCCCCAAGTCCACGGCGCTCGCCCTCGCTTTGCAGTCCGACTGCCTTGGCCGCGGGTGCCGACCACGGGTGGGCGCCTGCGACGTCCGTGCTTTCTAGGGTTGGCGCTGGCAGGGGGCTGCGTCCGCCAACTGGGTCGAGGCGCCCCTCAACTGTACCACTTGTGCCCCTGCTCCACCTCCCTCCCGCCAAGGCTCGACCTCAACGGTGTCTCCTGTCTTCGTTACGTCTTCGTTTTCCCTCGCTTTCTTTTCCCGCCCCTGCTGCAAAACGAAACACCAACACGAAGACGGCCCTCGGAATCGCAAAAACACAGATTCTCGGGTCGAGCCCTGCCTCCCGCGCCTCCGACCCCGGGCGCCCTGACAGCTCCGGCCGATCTCGCAACCCAAGGTTAAAGGGCAACGATAGGGGGGGAGGAGGAGGAGGAGGAGGAGGAGGAGGAGGAGGAGGAGGAGGAGGAGGAGGAGGAGGAGGAGGAGGACAACGAGGAGGAGGAGGAGGAGGGAGGAGGAGGAGGAGGAGGAGGACAATGAGGAGGATGACAATGAGGAGGAGGAGGGGGAGGAGGAGGAGGAGGAGGAGGAGGAGGAGGAGGAGGAGGAGGAGGGGGGAAGGGACACGTCGACCTGGAATCGGCGATACATCGCCGATAGATCGGCGGCAGGCCTCCGATCGTGAATCCGCACCCTCCTGGGCAGGTTTTGGGCTATCGGGCGCCTATCGGCGATCAGTGGGCGATTGGGGGTCGATGCATCCCTCCCTGTGCCTTGCCCCCAGTCGCTGCCCTGGGCCCTGGCTAGAACTGGGGTGCCGGAGGAGGGCGTCCGCTCCCACTCGGCCAGCCTGCACTGGCCTGTCAGGACCGCTTGTGCGGCGCAGCGGCCCGTACCCTTTAACACGAAGGTCATAGGCAAACACATCATATACATATACCTGTAAACCTTATATATAGATGTGTGTATTGCATATCATCTATAATATTTTATATGCGTGTGTATAATCGTGCTATTTCATATATCCACATTCAGATGGAGATGCATGTCTGACCGCACTACCTCTTTTACAGCACAAATCTCGAGGAACACAGCTCCGGAATGCAGGAGGTCCTCATCGTGATTCTGCCGTGTTCGGCCAGGTCTGTGGCGTGCAAGGCTCGCAGAAACAACAGAAAATCGAGCTCCGCTTTTGATTTGTACACAAGAAGGCTAGGGCTGGCCCAGGGTGCACTTTCGGACCATAATGTGTACGGAGGAGGACCGAGGAGGGAGGTGCATGACTCTGGGATTGGCCACTGGTGAGAAGAGACCAAAAGTAAAAACCCACCAGTGGCTATAAGAGAGTGGCAGACGCCAGCAGTAAAAACCCACTGGCGCCCAATATGGCCCAGAATCAATATAATCTAGACGGAGGAAGGACACAAGCAAACACGTACAAACACTCCCATCGGGGATCACTGAAAGCCACTAGTCCTGGAGGATCTGCAGGGCGCCGCGGCCGTTCCAGAGCGCTCCCAGACGCCATGAGAGCGTTCTGGAACGCCCTAGACCGACTTAACCTCATCCTAGGCCTGCCTCGCACTCCCCCCCCCATCTCCCCCCCCTGCCCTGGGGCCACCTCCTCCTCCGCGCGGTCCTGGGCCCCAGCGTCCTCCCTCACTCCCCCCGGGCCCCCCGCCCCACGCCTCCATCCGACCTCGTCTGCTGCAACCCCCGGGCGCGCGCGCGCGTCGTTTTCTGGACGTGGCCGGGGGGGGGGGGGCGGGGCGGGGGAGCTGGGCCCGCGGGCTGGACGTCCAGAGCGGCGCCTCGGAGGCTCGAAAGGGGGTGCCTGACAGTCGACGGCTTGTCTGTTTGTTGTAAGACATAGGTGTTCACACAGAGCGTACAGTCATCGTGCTACTACACGGAACGATGAATACATAACAAACGAGCTGTTCTGGCCACGGCCTGCCGCGGGCACGAACAGGCGCCCCGACCTGGATCTAAGGATCGGGCCGCAGGCCAGGGCCCCTCCTGGAGACCTCGGGTGGTCCTTATTTCAGCGTCTTGGCCTGTGTCCCCACTCCCCTCCCATCGACCACGTGAAGGCCGAGGGCCGCGCGTGGCCGGCGGCACCAGGGCGCGCCACCCAGAAACAGCCGAGGAGGAGGAGGAGGAGGAGGAGGAGGAGGAGGAGGAGGAGGAGGAGGACGAGGAGGAGGAGGAGGAGAAGCAGGAGGAGGAGGAGGAGGAAGAGGAGGAGGAGCAGGAGGAGGAGGAGGAGGAATACGAGGAGGAGAAGGAGGGAGAGGAGGAGGAGGAGGACACGGAGGAGAGGAGAAGGATGACAATGAGGAGGAGGAGGACGAGGAGAAGGAGGAGGACAATGAGGAGGAGGAGGAGGAGGAGGAGGAGGAGGAGGAGGAGGAGGACAACGAGGAGGAGGAGGATGAGGAGGAGGTAGCGGAAGCAAGGCCGATGGAGGAAGAGACGCAACGCGTGCGCGGCCGCGGGGCGTGACCACCCGACCTAACCACCCGTGAAGTGCGCAGGCGCGCGCGCGCGCGCCTGCAAGAGGCAACGGGCAGCTGGAGGGAGCTGGAGGGAAGCAGCGCAACGACGCAAACACCGAAACAACTACAGACCGTTGAAGGCTGAAGGGGTTCTGCTCTCCCTCGACTCGCGCTTGGGCTTCCACGCTTCGTTCCAGATTCATGTGGATGTCCTTGCATTTGTAGTGAACTTTCGACGTTTCACATATTGTCGCGCACTCCATCGATATATCTACCTCGGCCGACGCAATTCGGTTGGAGGTCGTCAAGCCCTTCGGAAACAGAGAGGGGAAAGGAGGAATACGGAGGGGAAGTGGCAGAACACCCGCTGCTCTCAAGTCTCTGCCCCCGATGAGCAAAGCTCTGCCGTGCTGGGGCAGGCGCCATTCCAAGACCGCGTGCGCATGATACAATTCGGACGAGGCCGCAAGAAACCCTCGCAAGAAACTAAGCCTGAAAACCCGCGCTCGAGATGCACATGGGAGGGAACCCAGATAATTCTTAATGCAACAACTTCTTCAACGGCTGCGGGAAGTCACCGTGCAGCGTGCGGAGCGAAGAACCCAGGGCACCCTGACGAAAAGCATCTGGTTTCTTGATGGGCAGCCCCACTATGTGTTGCGCGAGCTTCACGACCTTGTTCTGCCGAGCTGGGCTTCGCAGGGTCGCCAGGAATGAGCTCCCAAGTGCTCCTCGGGGGCCCTCGTTGCTACGGCTGGACTCCCCTTCTTCTGGGCCCCATTCTCCTGGGCCTCCTCCTCCTCCTCCTCCTCACCTTCCTCGCCCTCTTTCTCTCCCTCCCTTCCCGGCCTCTTCCTCTTCTTCTTCGCCTCCTCCTCCTCCTCCTCCTCATCCTCCTCCTCGTCCTCGCCCCTCCCCTTCTCCTGCAGGGACCTCGGGCACCCAGCCCGCATCAGCTGGCCGCCGCCCCCCACCCGCCCCCTCCCCGACGGCGCCTGGCGGGGGAGGCGGAGCGGCAGCCATCAGCGCGGCGGGCACCAGGAAGTTCACTTTGGAGAGGGCTGCGGCGCGGGCCCGCGGGGCGCGTGGCCCGCGGAGACCGGAGACGATCGACGATGAGTGGACCCCTCCTCCTTCCCTACTTCTCTTGCTACTCTGTCTCCTCCTCTCCGTCCCCCTCCCCTTTTCCCCTGCTCCGCCCTATCCCCTCTCACCCCCCCTCCTCCCCCTCCTCCTCCTCCTCCTCCTCCTCCTCCTCCTCCTCCTCCTTTGGAGGCCTCCGAAATGTGACCAGAGAGTTGCACCGCGTCGCCGATGCATAGGCGAAGGCGGGATGGCGAAGATCGGGCTCCTGATCGCCGCGCATCGCCTATACATCGCCTATACATCGCCGACGCGAAGCGATCCTCCGACCCCACCTGCTTCGACCTCATCTGGGAGGCCTGGAGTTGGGGGAGCCGAGGCTCGAGGGTCGAGGTCTTTAGGGCGCTCCTGGCCTTTCTCCAAAGCCTCCTCGACGCCACGTCTGGCAGCGGGGGCTGGCGGCCCGGCAGCGGCTCCAGGGTCTTGGGAGCGACCCTTGGCCCTTCACAACTCTTGCCCAGGGCGCAGTCAGCACCGGATCGTACCTCGTGATTGAGGAGGAGGAGGAAGAGGAGGAGGAGGAGGAGGAGGAGGAGGAGGAGGAGGAGGAGGAGGAGGAGGAGTTCGCTCGGGACGCTGTCCCGTAGGAGGAGGAGGAGGAGGAGGAGGAGGAGGAGGAGGAGGAGGAGGAGGAGGAGTTTCGAGGCTCCTGTGCTGGGCGTCCAAGCGGCCTCGCGTCGCAACCGCTGGCTCCGCCTCGCAGCTCCGGCCGGCAGTGCAGCACGCGGCCCGAGGACAGGCCCCTGGGGGCCACCTCGCGGCACAACCACAAGTCGAGATGGAACCTTGCCATCGCTCGGACGCCCATCCCCCGTGCTTTCTCTGGTGTCGAGCGCATGTTCCCAGGCTGAACTTGGGATGTTTGCCGATGGTCCTGGGCCGAGAAAGAATGCACACGTCCCAGCGGTGCCAAGGGACATGCTTGACGCGTTTGCGCCCCTGCGAGCCCTTGCCAGACCCCCGGGGCCATGAAACGACGACTCGGACGAGCAGCGGTCCGGGCGACGGGAGAAGGAGGAGGAGGAGGAGGAGGAGAAGGAGGAGGAGGGGCTCGAACTAAACGGTGTTTCTCGTTCTCGTTTTGTCTTCGTTGTTCTTCGTTCTGTCTTCGTCCTGCCTTTTGCTGCGGATCGACATCAACACGAAAACGGTTCACGAAATCGCCAAAACACCGTTTAGCTCGAGTCCTGGTTCAGAACCTTGGGGGCCCACATTGTGAACAAATCGCGACATTGGGGGTCTGGAAACCGCCCTGGATCGGCAAGGGATCGAAAGACAGGATTGGACCAACCACAATGTGATGCACAACTGCGCCACCCAAACATCGGGCCACATCGGATCGCTGGACCATCGAAATCGAATCGGGTCGAGCCGGAAAGAGCTAGAGACAGCAATTCGGATCGATCAACTCGGCACGATTACGGCCCTGGTTGGCACTCACGGCTGGACCCCCGCACACAAGCATCGCGACACAATCTCCGAGGGCGTCTTCGGCGCGTGTCCGCCCCCGAGACCTTCACATATCGACTCGGCTTTTGTAACACCATGCCGTCGAGAGCCCTCTCTTTTTTCTATTACATTCTGTGTTTTGACGTCGGATATTGGTGCCCCCATCCTCTTCCTCCCTTTACCTCTCTCTCTCTCTCTCCCTCCTCTCCATCTCTTTCCATTCATCTCTCTCCCTCCTCTTCTCTCTTTCTCTCTCCCCCTTGTCATCATCCTGGGATCCTCTTCCTCCACTTTCCATCCTCGCCTCCACCTCGCCAGGATCCTTCAATGCCCGCCCAGGCTAACTCCTTCGACCGAGCCACTTGGACGCTACAGGTGCTCGCTGTTCAAACTGACCGAGGACGAGCTCGGCCCACACCGTGGCAGCTATCCAGAATTTTGATTGACAGTACAGAACGCTTGAGCTGGAACGACATCAGCAACATTTAAAACACGCGGTGCAAAGCAGACTCCCCGCTCCAAGAAACCAAACTCGGTAAAACCAGGTCTCGGCAACAACAAGTGGGTCATTTTCGACCCCGAACTACACCATAAATCGGGCAATTGAGATTTCCTCGGGGATCCACATCGCGTGGAGCGGGCGAGTCCCATTTGGGACCGGGCTTGTTGGCTATTCGCTGCTGTTCCCGAAACGATGTTTACACGTAGGGGTTCTTACTTGTCTTCTAAGGCAACAGGGTCCACAGGGTCCCAACTGCAGCCCGACCAGCTCGCCGCCGCCCGTGGCCGCTGAACCCCAATGCCGCTATACACGTATATGTAGGCACATCTGCTCATAACCAATCATCGGCTCTCCAACGTTGTCCTCCAATTCTGCCAAGCGGGCTTTTCGCGCCGTATGTCGAACTCATGAGAACGCCCTTGTGCGCGTGCTGGGGGGGGGGGCACGATACGTGTCAAACAACACCACGCGGGCCACTCGCGCGCGTCGGCCGCGCGCGCATGTCGAACCCCTTCAGAAACCTGCATCGCCGATGCGGGCACGTCGTCATCGATATCGGCGGGCGTGATCAACATCAACGCCATCGCCGCAATGGTCACAATCACCGTTACTTCCAACATCGCGCCTTCAACTGTCGGCGTCGGCATGATACCGTGCCAACCCAGGTCACCGACTCGCACTGAAGTGCCCGCTGGGCAGTACCCAGCAGTCAGCGCCACCGCGGCCGCGTCGGTCGCGCCAAAGTCGATGGCCGCTGTGCGCGCAAGCGTGCGCGGGCTAGCGCGGCCGCACAGTTGCATCAGCCAGCGCCAAGCACTCATCGCCATCGCCGCCGCAGGGGTTTGCAAACCACGTTGCGGGTGGGTGGGTGGAATCTTTACAAGGTTATGGAACTTGTCAGCTCATTTGTAAAAGCCAAATGCACTCAACTAGAACTCACATTGATTGCGCCACCTAGCACTCTCCGCACATACATGTACATGTGTGTATAGGTGTATATACATATTGATGTTGTGAGAAAGCACAACGCGTATCTATACATATATACACACACGTATGTGTGGACAACAGATGGGGCCACCAATCTCCGCTACCTTGGTGGTCGGCACTGGGTGAAGTGTCCCGATGTCACTCCAAGGTCTCTGCGTTGAGTAGCGTAAGCGGTCTTTAAGAGGCCCAGACGTCCAACTGTCGGTTTCGCGTGATCGGGAATCCGTACTCCGAGCATTACCGCCGATGGTTTCGGGACACGTCCTGGAGTCCTCGCCTGCGCGATCTTGGGCCGTTTTGGAGCATGCTTCAGGGGTGGAATGCTTTTGACGTTACCCACGACGGCCAAAGAGGCCCCCAATATGGCCCCAAGACGGACCCCGATGCCCCCAAGAGGCGCAAGAAACCAACAGGACGGTTTCAAGAGGAGGGATTTGAACTCGAACTTCGAGCACTCTACCCAAAGATGAATCCCCCCCGAGGCCGTCAAGAGGCCGCCAAGGGCCCTCTAGAGGCCACAAAATACCTTTAAGAGACCCCCTAGGGACTTCCAAGAGGTCCCGAAGGCCTTCCCAGAGACCACCAGAGGCCCCTTGCCCACAATCCAAGCACGGTGACGTCGTCTACCGGGGGAGTATTCGCTCTCGCGAATCCGACTTATGTCGGGGGTCGGGGAGGATGACCCGCTCCAGAAATACTGAGGGCACTGGCACTGACATCTCTTTGTGCAAAGGTTTTGACTTCCGCTGGTCAACCCTTCGCTCATTTGGAGACGAGGCCAACTGGTTATGAATGAAATGCTTTCGCTAATGCGAACCACCTTCATGTCGGACATCTGGAATATCAAGCACGGCAACTGGTCATCCAACTAGCACTGGGAACCAACAAATAGTGGCCACTTCAGTAATCAATGTTGATGCGCTTCAAAAACATGATTCGGTCCCACACATGCTTAGCATTAGTTCCTGCCGGATGCCACTCGTGCTGCTGATTCAATCTTTCCAGTCTATGCGATACCTGTCAACATGTGGAACGTAGACTCCGTCATTTGCTTTACGCGCTCGGCACAACGAATTGCCTTTGCATCTTCACCGGCTAAACGATATGCTTTCTCCATGCGAGGGAGAATGTGCAGCAATAGCCCCACGGTAGTGTCGCCACTCCCAGACTCCAAGATGCTATGAGCTCTTTCAAGCGTGTCCACCTGATGTTTATACTCACCGGCTTCTTCGTATGCGCTGCTCAAGTCGACCAATGTCGCTGTCAATTGCACGTGGCTTCGCCCGAGTTGCCTTTCCGATATAGCCAATGCGCGGTTGATTAAGGCAATGGCTCTTCTACTTTGCTGCTGTCGTATGCAAGCGCTTCCCAAATGCTGCAAGGTCGGGACAAGGTCAGCGTGGTCCTTTCCAAGATTCTTCTCACCTATACACAAGGAGCGTTCCAGTATCTTGATAGCCTGCTCTGACTCACTAACTAACAGTTTCGCTTCACCTAGACTGCACAACGTGGGCATATTGTCAACGGCATCTGCACCAACGGTTTTCTCTTTGATATTGAGAGCTCGCTCGAGCACTTCAATCGCCCGCTGACCATTTTTGAGCTGGTTATCCGCCCGGACACGTGGAGGCGTTACATCATGCCAAGTGTTGTCTGGCAGGGCTTCTGCTGCCTTCTGAGGCCCCTTCTCCTTCTCCTCCTCCTCCTCCTCCTGGTTCCCCCTCCCCCTTCCTCCTCCTCCCCCCCCCTCTCCCCCTCCTCCTCCTCCTCCTCCTCCTCCTCCTCCTCCTCCTCTCTCTCCTCCTCCTCCTCCTCCTCCTCCTCCTCCCTCCTCCTCCTCCTCCTCCTCCTCCTCCTCCTCCTCCTCATCCCCTCCTCCTCCTCCTCCTCCTCCTCCTCCTCCTCCTCCTGCCTCCTCCTCCTCCTCCTCCTCCTCCTCCTCCTCCTCCTCCTCCTCCTCCTCCTCCTCCTCCTCCT